ATAATTTTGTATCAATTAACAAATTCTATAATTTAGTGTTACTGTCCTCTGTGATCAGTGACCGTCAGGCCGCTTAAATTAATGTCGTCATTTTGTTTTCATTTATTTTTTAATCCCTTTCAAACTAAATCGCTGGTTAAAAGTTACCTTTTTTTCTTTCATATTTGTACCAGTGTGGGTTTATTGTAGCACCATTGTGTACTTGTGTAGCTCCTGCTTATTTCAAACAACAATCCCTTCCCCACTTTGCTGTTTCTCAGAGCAGATTGTATTCGCATGCCTTGCTTGCTTCCCACCAGTAAATTGCGTACTTATTTGGATGGTTGGTTTTAGGAATTTGCACTTTACCACAACTGTGTTTTTTGCGCCGCCACATCCGGAACAAAACATTCAGTTGAAAGCTCTGAGAGAACACAGCTACGGAGAAGAAAAGGAAGCGGATATTTAGAGGACGATAAACCTTTGACTCAATTTATCCGTCATGTTCCTGTAGCAGTACCCCCCCCCCACCTGAAAATGCTGCTCAATTGACCGTTTTGAACTGTTTGTTCGAAGCGGGAACAAGAGGCGAGAGGAGATGCGATGTGGAGGGGGAGGAAGGAAGCAGTGAGGAGGGGATATAAAAGGAGGAGAGAGGTGAGACTGACACTTTGTTGAATGACCTCGCTTCTGCTGAAACAAATTTGTCCTCTTTTTCTGGGTTGTTTTTTTTTGATAAATGAAAGAAAAAAGCAAAGAGACAGAATAAATTGACTCAAAAGAAGAGTTAACGTGACCTTGTCTGAGTTTCTTATTTTCAGGTTTTTTACTGTGAAATAAATAACAGACATGAGGTACAGGCTACTTTCTAGCCACCACCACTTGCTTCACGACACATCGACGTGACAGAAGCTCATTCTTTTCTTTTCAACAGCATGTTGACGCAAACATGACCACGAGGGTAAAGAACCAACACGATGATGAACTCAAACTTTACTTTACTTATGCACACAGATAAGCACATTGTGTGACAATGCTGCCGTGACGCTGACGCTATACTCCGCAGTGACGTTAGCCGTGGTCGTCGGGTTGCCGTAGCTCTGTTCTCACAGGAAAGTGTGATTAACCATGAGACACGTGTCAACAATATAAACATTGCAAATCGCTATACTGGAGGGAAAAAACAACTCCTCATTGAGGATCATCTTTAAGGATTAATGAAGCAAGCAGGTATTAAGCTCTGGCTGATGGCAGTCAGCTGATCCAAGACAGGGAGGGTAACAAGATGCAGGCACACAGAGCATACTGGATATTGAACAGACAAAAACATATTCCTGTAGTAACTGTAACTCATTACAAATAATAATTCTGAAAAAAACAAAAACTGGCATTCACCAAAAATGGCACCAAACCACTAAAAACAAAAATTCTTTCCAATAATTCCTCGTAGAATGAAGGACTGATATCGCTCAGTATTGCCAAGTAGCCAATTTCAACATTGCTCACAGTCAGCAAAAACTGTTGTCTGGGCTTAAGTGGCACTTGGTATTTAAAGTATAAATAAAATGAAAGAGACCTTGCTCTCTCTCTCTCCCTCCCTCCCTCCCTCCCTCCCCCCTCTCTCTGTCAGGTCAGAACCGCTGTTCTCTTCGACTTTACTGAGTGGCTGTCAGCTGAGAAAGCTTTTATACTGGACAGACAGCTCAGCAGGATTCTACTATTGACTGAAATGGCTACCTGGACTCCACCTACCTGACTTTATCTCCTCAGCCCTCTTTTTTTCTACCGCTCGCTTCTCCCTCCCTCTTAATTGTCAATTCTCTCTCTCTTTCTCTCTTTCTCTCTCTCTCTCTCACTCATTGTGATTGGGTTGGGAAGGAAGCCAGAGAAAGCTCTTACAGTTGTAACATCACGCTGGCTCTGCTTTATCATGTACTCCCTCTATTTCTCTCTCTCTCTCGCACATCCAGTCGACATGCTAATGGCAGTGTACACACATACATCAGTTCTTCAACCACGGTGTGTTTGTGCAAAACACACCGTGTGACATTGTAGCTACTGATGAGTGTTGTTAATTCACCAAGTAGAAATAGTTTGATACTGTATGAAAGTACACTGATGGCAGAGGCTGTCTTATGAAGTGCCACCTGTCCATCAGTCTAATCTAACTGCTTATTCACACACACACACACACGTCGATGGCACAGCCTTCAGGAGCAATGTGGGGTTCAGCATCTTGCCCAAAGACACTTGGACATGTAGACTGTAGACGGGGATCAAACCGCCAGTCTAACGATTAGTGAACGACCTGCTCTACCACCACAGCCACCACCGTAAATCCTTGAGGATACACATACGTCAATAGTGAGAAATTTAAAAAAACTGTTATTTTATTTTCTACTTATGTTGTTCATCTTATTTTATGGTTTTCACTTTTACTTTCTTAGATTTATGTTTTTTCTGTATTTTATTTTTCCTCCCAGTAGCTTTTCTTTTTAATTTAATTTTAGATTAAATATAAATAAATGACTCATTGTTGACCAAAATCAAAGACACGCCTGTTTTCTAACCTGACTACATCTTGTTGTTTTCATACTTGAGCAGCTAACACCAGATACTCACAGACGTGTGCTCATGTGACCGTTGCTTGCCTCAGTGCTCTGCAGGTATCTTAACTGTTTACATGAGTGTGAGTTTTAATGACCGTTAACACAAGTAACTGGTCATTTCCTGGAGGAAATAGTGTCTCGTAAACATGATTGTGAGCGTGTGTGTGTGTGTGCTTTTTTATTGTGGTTTATGTGCACTGTAGATCAAAGGAACTAGTGGATTGTGACTACACACACACACACACAAACTAAAGTACTGTTGCTTTAGAAACCATTCCCACAGTTGCCAGGTAAATAACAAAGTGAACATTAGTTCTTTGTGCATTTCACAGTCAAAATGTGTGTGTGTGTCTTTTACAACAAGGTAACATGCTCGTGTTTTCAAACACCTGTTATTTATTTTACATCATTTCTGTCTCACCTATATTATTCTCTTCATTTTCTCACCGACAAAGCCCCAATCAGAACAATGACTCATTGTTTTGTCTGTGTATTATCGCAATCAGGAGAAGGTTGCTTGTTAGTTACAGAGTCAGTTGCATGCATGTGTGTGTGTGTTTTTAGTTGGTAGGGAATTCATCATTTCCTGACACTCTGAAAACACTAGACAAACACGGGAGCCTCTTGCCTCTAATTATGCTGTACGCTCCAGCACTTAAACCTATTAGCACCAGAGGGTGTGTGTGTGTGTGTGTGTGTGTGTGTGTGTGTGTCAAGGTGATCCAGGTTGTGTTAAGCTGATAACTACTTTGACGGCAGCCTCATGTGTTGATGTGTCCTTTAATTACTCTGTAAAGCCTACATGCATGCTGGGTGCTCCACATACCGCAGCACACATCTGTATTTAATGATTTGATCCAGGTTTTAAAAGTTTGACAGTTGAGTTCAGTCCCACAGATTATGTTTTAGTGTTTATACTTGGAGGTCACCCTTAGTAATGAAATATATGGACAGCCAGTTTGTTCTTTTAAACCTTTATATACAATTATCCAGCACAGATGGTGTTCTCCTCCTCAGTGACCTGCTTTATTTATGCAGTTTGACATATTTTACTATTGGATTTAAATAGCTCTGCTTTAATAGTGTAACTGTTTAATATTATTCTGTTTGTTAGTCAAAAAAAAAGATGGCAATCCAGTAGAAGTTTAAAGTTTTTATGTCACAACAATGAACAGACAAATCTGCATTAAACCATCATCCATGGAAACCATGGTCTGTTCTTATCCTTAACCAAGTGCTTTAGTAGCCTAAACGTAACAGCATGTGGGACGCAGGGCGCAGACGCCAAGTCTCTGGTGTCAAAACTCTGCACTTTGTAAACCCACCATCAACTGGATCCACTTCCTCGTGACCTCTGGTGTAGACTAGCACTTCCTGGACTGGGAAATACATCAGCAGGAATCTATAGCCACCAATAACATTTCCTTCAAAACGTATGTGGTAACATTATTCTGTGCTATGTAGCCTGAATGTAATTTCTAGGACACAGGGTTGGTCAATGAGATGCGCAGCAGGACAACACAAAGAAATGCATTAAAACATTATAACCACACATTATATCTGTGTGTGTGTGTGTGTGTGTGTGTGTGTGTGTGTGTACGTCTCACTTCCCCACAGACCACAGGGTCTATCTCTGTGACCTCTGTGGTACGGAGTGGCAGAAGGGTCAAACCCGATCAATAGCTCAATGACTCCCCTCCTCGTTGTGTATCCAGATGTAAGGAAACACTATCCCAGCCGTTAGATATCATTATACCGACAGTAAGATATCGTATATACAGTACGCCTGTCCCAAGGGCACTGTGCAGGATGGTTGTTATAGTATAGGGAAGGCTATTTTTACTTAATTCTTACTATAAGGGCATGTTATTGTGGAAGTATTCGGTAAATCCATACTATTCCAGTTTTGTCTCGTTTTAGTATTAAGTAAATAGTTTACATCTATTTAAAAGTAATTTTTTTGGTTTGGTAAATCTGCATTAAAAAAAAAGTAATATACAAACAACAACACAGCGAGTTTTTTCCATAAAGTAAATGAAACGATTTATGTCGTATTTGTCTCACTAGAATTCTCTCTTGATCACTTGTCAAGTGTCTTCTTTTGGGTGGGATGAAGTCAATGGATATAAAAACCTGCATGTTTAGAATCAATGTGATGGCTGATGTCTAAACGTGTCTTTGCACACTTACCTGTCTGCATTAGCTGTGCAGCAGGCGGAGCTCCACGGGATGCAAGTCAGCCTGCTTCCCCCAGCGGGGGGCTTTGATCCTGGGGGAGGTGGCTGCGGGGATCTGTATACTGCGGCATGAGCTCTGGTTATCTGCTACATCCTTCAGATAGTCCGGTGTGTACTCATTGTGTACCTGTTTGTTTATCCATATCTGTCTGTGTGTGTGTTTGTGTGCGTGCAGGCAGTGCCGAAGCCCGTAGCCATGGAGCCATGTTGGGGGAGCAGAGCAGGTGTTCTGACGGTGCTGCTGTATCTGCCCAGAGTCCCATCTGGAATACCTCCACCAGGACAGTCTGGTATGATTCACACAAACACACACAAGTATACAACATGTACAATGTGTCAAGTCATCTCTGTTTTTTGGTTTGATAATTGTTAATCCGTCTCAAATGAGCAGTCATTTTAAATTTTTATTTCAAGCAAATTCTGACAATTTTGGGTAATGATGATTTCCATAGGTTACACAGTTATGGCAATTCTGGCTAAGAAGTTGCATTGGCGTATTGGCTAGAAATACCTGAAGCTTCTGTTTCCTTTTCATCAACATTGTGTCGGACCTATTTGGTGCCATATCACCTAAACAACTTCCGCAGTGGTGTGTGGGGTTTTTGATGCAAAGAGGGAGGGATTGCAGAAATATCAGCGTCTGTCAGGGGGCTACAGCCAATCAGAGCACAAGACACGAGTTGAGGGAAAACCTGGGGGAGGGTTCGCCTTTAACTGTGTGGGCTACATGTTGCATTTGCAACACGGACCACGGTTGTTGTTGCATCTATCGGAAAATAGATGAAAGGTAAAGACTTGTGGAAATGTCAACCAATGACAACTTAAACAAGCATTATGATATCACGTCACTTGCTGTGTCACTTCTCGCGTGTGTTTTCTTGGGTTTGACGACCTCATCAGTGACCCACTGTCGCCAGTCAGTCATGTACTGTGAAAACCACGACAAAATCCAGTTGTGTAGTGTGAGCAGTAGCAATCCTATGACTTTGTGAGTCATGTAGTGTGAACTCGGCTTAAGGTGACGCACACTATTATGTCTATCATTGGGAGAAAAAGTGCTGCCTCAATCATACTTTGTGCTGATCATTTAGAAAAAGACAGATGCATAATGACCAGCTAGCTGCCACTATAAGCAGATGGTATTCATGTCCAACTGTCAGACACTTACCAGAGCTAATGTTCCTTTTTATGATTAAGTGTAACAAATATCATCTCTCCTACTGGGGATTTCTCCATTTTCATTTGATTGTCGCTGTTGTTGTAAACTGTCAGCTGTCTGCGGTCCATGAAATCCCTCATCATCGTCACGGTAGGCTCACAAAAACAGTCAACGCCATTTGTGATCCTTTTTACAAGTTGAGCTGTTTTCTGCAGCTGTCTAACAAGACTCCAGATGTAGCGAGCGGTGCTTCTTGTGTGCCTCGAGGCGGCTTCCCATCAGCTCTCATGTAAAACAGGCTCTGGCAGTTTGAACAAAAAGCAGAGTAAACACACTAAAATGTGATAGCGTCTGATGCCTCATCAAATATGACTTGATGTTTCCCGCTCCTGTCATCGTTAGAGCGTTCCGTACATCTACCCATCTAAGATGGTAAATGGACTTGTGCTTGTGTGGTGCTTTTCTAGTCTTCCGACCACTCAAAGCACTTTAACACTACTTGTCATTCACTCATCTCTACTCTGATGGTATGGGATACCATTCAATGTAATAATCTAGCAGTCACACACATGTGACGCAGTTTGCTGGAGCAATTTGGGGTTAAGTGTCTTGCCCAAGGACACATAGACATGGACTAGAGGAGCCGATCTACTGATTGAAGGACAACCCGCTCTACCACAGTCGACCCCTAAGATGGCAGCTTGATTTCTGTGCTGCCTGACGGTTCAGTAAAATAACCCTGAAAACATATCAGAAAATACATCGGTGTATTTTTGTACTTGATGGAAAGGAGGGTTGCAACAACAAGTATGAAAACTATGTCAAGGGGAGGCTGTGGCTCAGAGGTAGAGCGGGTCTTCTTCCAATCGGAAGCTTGGCGGTTTCGATCCAGTCCATGTCGAAGTGTCCTTGGGTAAGACCGCTGAACTAAATTGCTTGGAAGGCTGTGCCATCAGTGTATGAATGGGTGTGAATGTGAATTAGTTTAGTCCTGATTGGCAGGTGGCACCTTGCATGGTTTCCCTTGCCATCAGTGTTTGAATGGGTGAATGATGACATATAGTGTAAAGCCCGTTGAGTGGGCTGATCTGATTAGGAAGGACGGGCTCCCAGATATGATAATCAAATTTATGGCATACGTCATCTCCAGTTTCCTGGAAGACCTAGTGAGGGACTGGCTTGATTCTCAATGTGATATGGAACTCAAAATCCCCGAAAGAGCACACAGGGCACTGGCACCCGAACCCATCGACCTACAGGCAACGTACCGGTCCATCATTGCCAAGTTGGCGAGCTACAGGGCAAAAGAAGAGGTGATCCATAAAGAAGAAGAAAAGGTCATTCTACCGCTCCACGTCTACCGTGGTCCGTTCCTACAGATATCCAGTTACCATCATACCGGCCACAACCGGCCTGGTCCAACTTGTACTCACAAGAAAAATAAATCATTTATACAAAACAAAACTATTACAAATCCGTAATTTGTACGTTGTTTCACTGCTGGGAGGTGGTTTTGTAGGAAATACTGCTTAGCTCTCAAACTACACTGTATTAATGCAGAAAGCAGAAAAACTCCACAGGAAAGCAGCAACATGACGAAAGTTCTGCAGATTGACAATTTCTGGCATACGGTTAAAATCAAACTGTTTTTATATTGTGACACCAGTATGCTCTTTCTCTAAGTATCAGCACGTCTTGTGCAGTGATATAATGAATTATTCAGACAGACTCTTGACATATGGCACATTTCAAAAAAGGTCTGATGTGGTTAGAGCTGCCTGGTTTCCATTCAACACTTACTGTTGGATCAATTGTTCCCCTAAATGAGCCTTCCGGACTTTCCACAGTCTGAGCTCATGTTGCCGCTATAGACGTACGACATGCGATATCCCCCGTTCGCTGCAGCCGACCACCATGCGGCTGTGGACATCACTGAAAAGACAGCAGCACTTCCTCCAGACCTAACCGAGGCCTGGCGCGTTGTGCACCGTCAGCATGAAGCCAATCTTCTCTCCCTCCATCTCATCTTCCACCTGAGTCCACCTCTCATACAGTTAGTCTCCCAGACCTTTCTCTCTTTATATTTGTATTCTCTCCTGCAGCTTTTTTGGGGAGACTGCTGTCAGTGTTTGTGCTGTATGTAACTGGAGCAGGTGTGAGGAGCCTCTGTTCCTCCAGACAGGAAGGAAAGCCTTCAACATGACAAGTACCTGACAGAGGAAGCAGCACAGCAGACGGTTTATTGAAGCACTTTGCAAGAAAGCATTTTCCCCAACCTAGAAGGAGCTTTATGTTTAACAGAATATGAAGCCTTTAAAACATATCAACAGTCACTGGAGTCTAATACAGAGGAGGGAAGGAAAAGGGTCTGTGTGAGAATGTGTGGGTAAGGGACAGAAAGTGAAAGTTTACTCTACCCAGAGGTCATTATATGATGATGATGATAAAACGATAACCTATGGTTATTGGTAACAAGTGCATTAGGACCAACTGGAAAAGCAGTAAACTCTAAGCTAAATCACAAGAGCCTAAGTTCCAGTTTGTATGCCATTTGCGGTTGCTTTGCAACTGCCGACTGTAGGCAGCCTACGCTTGTCAAAAGGTCACATTAAGTGGAGATGCGAATGATGCAAAGTTCATTTAAATTATTTCAAGTGTTGTAAGATGTCTTTAGATTGATTTTAGAGATGGATATGTTCAAATCACATAATGGAAGTATTTCAGATCTTTGAAAAGGATTAGACCTGGCCTTAATAAACACAAACCCGAATTTGGCCCATATCTTCAAGACACAAACTGGCTGAACCCAACCGGTCAGCCAAAATGTCCAACCATAACTGGAACTGACTCTTGGAGCTATAGTTTTCCTTAATGGTTTCACTGCAACAACCGGATTGGCCATTGGCAGAAGTCCAGCACTGCAATTTCAGATGACAAAACTGCAGGTTAAGGAGATTTACATTGCTTAAAGGCAGTGTCCAGAGTGCTCTGGTGTTTTTTTCTTCTATTCACCACCTTCTGCTGCCTGTTGTTTGGACATTAGGTCATCACAGCAGCAGCAGTAGACAGATTTTCAGGAAATTAGTGCCAATAAGAGGCTTGTCAGTTCTAGGCGGGCTGCTCTCTGGGGGACGTCCAGGATCTTCTGTTGTTTTTCTCATCAAATCAATGAAATAGCTGTTGTTGTTACCAGTGTTTGAAACCTTAAGTCAATGGTTGTGTCTACTTGTGTATTTGTGTAGTGAACACGTAACCACACATGATACACCAAGGAGACGATAAAAGTGTTGGACTTCATAAAAAACAGAAATCGCCCTCCCATCATCAGTCCCCAGTCTGGCTCCTCTCCTCCCTCTATCCTCCCACCCCTGCTCCCCAGAGAACAATCTCCATAGGGTCAGACAGCAGTCCTCCATTGATGTTAGCATGTACGAACGTGAAGTTACTGCAGGCTAGCTCCGCCCACCCTCAATGGGAGACACTTCAAGAGGAATCCTCAATGAGAGAGCCTTTTTTTAGCTCACCCTCCCTCGCACTGTCTTCTTTTTCTTCTCGCTGTTTTCTTCTTCTCCTTCTTTTCTCGTCTCCCCTGAGCTGTTACCAATAACTGACCCTTTATACGTAAGAGGGAGGAGAAGAGAAGACACCCATGTTGGTTTCAGAAGAGGAGAAAAAAAGACTGCAATTTATAGTTTCTCAGCTGCCAGTTTCTTAACCCATATTCCTCACTCTGTCTTGTTTGTACTTTTCCTCTCTCTGTATCATTCTAATACTAATACAAGAGAGAGGTATTGCGTTATCAAAGGGTCTGTTTTGGTGACGAGTTTGTGCTCCTCCTCCACCGATGTGAAATCCTTCAAAGCGGCCACACTCAGATTCATTTCTGGTGTCACAATCAGTGATATGGAGGTTCTCAAAACTTGTAGATACCTTATCGCATGGATGGCAACTCGCATCAGATCACCCAGGCCTATTGTTTTCTGTGTAAACCCGTAGCAGTGGAGTGACGTGTGTCAGCTGCATTGAGTCACTGTCTTACTTTTCAATAGCCACACTCCACAAAAAGTGAGTTAATCAAATTCACTCACGGGACTGACACATTTCAGCCTCCGTACCTTTGCAGTGCATCCT